TACACAGAGGGTAAGACACCAAGTGGGGTTCACTCCAGGAATGCAAAGGTGATAAGTCATCCCATTAACCCATTGATCCTCATCTCACAGATGCAGGAAAAGCATGTGTCAGCTGCAACACTCACTTCTGATACAAAGTCTCAGAAAACTGGGATGGAAGGAAAGTCCTGCATATGATACAAGATAGCAATTTAAAAAAAAAAAATAACCTAAACCAATCAAGCCCTGTTCTTAAAAACAAAACACTGAAAAAACACCCCTCACCCGAGTCCAGGAGCGAAACAACCAGGCCTGTGTGGTCACTGCTGCCATGGGGTCCCAACCAGGGTGACCACCCGAGGAAAATACGGTGGGAGAACAAAAGGGGAAGGGATCGAACTGTCACTGTTTGCAGATGACGTGACAGGGTTTGTAGAAGATCTAAAAGAATCATTAGACTATTAGAATCAGTGTGTGAATTCAGCAAGCCCATTGGAACCAAAACACAACGTTCAACTGTTTATACGTGTATATATGCAAGCAATAATGTAATAAGAGCGCTGGTGATGCAGTGCATTAAGCACTGGGGAGCTAACGGGAAGGTTCAAACCCACCAATTGCTCCACGGAACAAAGAAGAGGCAGTCCGCTTCTGTAAAGATTTCCAGCCCCAGGGACCCATGGAGTCGGAATCAGCTCTTCTGTAGTGTGTTTTTTAATGCAACAGAACCGAGAATGTTGGCAGTATAGTCCACAGGGTAAAAGGACAGTGTTTTCAATAAATGGCTCTGGGTCATTTGGGTAGCTATGGATTTTTTTAAATGGGCCTTGACTGCTTACTTGACACCACTGTGCATAGTTCAGACCCAGGGACTCTATAGATCTAAACATGAAATACAAGACAAGAAAACGTGGCAGAACAGCTTCGGGATCTTGGAGAAGACAAAGATGTCTTAAATGGACCACAACCACACTCTAAAGTTTAAAAGAAAACGCCGACTAAGATGTATGAAAAGTAATAATTTCTGTTCATGAAAAGAGTGTGGACAGGCCAGCCATGCAATGGGTTATGTTATTCATAAACCCAATAATAGGTTCAGACGTGCAGCATACAAAGACGTTCTATCTAACATTAGGGAAAAGATAACCCAACAGAAACATGGGCAAAAGACAAGAGAGCATGCGTCAGTGACCCATAACCATGAGTGTATTTCTCAATCTCATTAGCCATCAGGGAGATGCAAATCCAAATGCCCACCCAAATGGCTCAAATTCAAAAGGAGTGGTTAAGATATTGGCATCGGAACTCTGAGACCCTGCTAGTGTTGATGCCAGTGAGTGTTACCATTTTGGAAAGCCACCTGTGGGTGTCTACTAGAGTTGACCAGTTGGGTTACCCATGGTGGACAGGTTTCAGTGGAGCTTCCAGACTAAGACAAACAAGAAAGGCCTATCGACTTCCAGACACTGGACAATGGAAACTCTACTGACCACAAGAGAACACTGTCTGATAGAATCCTGGAAGATGAGTCCCTTACATTGGAAGGCTCTCAAAGCACATAGGCCACAGCCATGGACTTGAGGAGACTGATGATTGGGAAGCATTTCGTTCTGTTGTATAGCTAAAGGTCCCCATGGAGCTAAAGAAAATTACAAGTTCATGAGAGCCAAAATATAGCCTTGTATATAACCCACCTGAATTTAGAGATCATCTGCAGAACAGGTTTGATGCATTAGACACTAAAGACCGAAGACCAGAAGAGTTGTGGAATGATATCAAAAACATCACAGAGGAAGAAAAAGGTCATTAAGAAGACAAGAAAGAACAAAAAGACCAAAATGGACGTCAGAAGAGACTCTGAAACTTGCTCCCCAGCATAGAGATGCTAAAGCAAATGGAAGAAGTGAAGAGGTACAAGAACTGAACAGAAAATTTCAAAGGTCAGCTCTAGAAGACAAAGTCAAATGTTATAACAAAATGTGCAAAGACCTGGAAATCAAAAGGGAAGAACATGCCCAGTGTTCCTCAAGCTGAGGGGACTGAAGATAAAATTCAACCTCGACTTGTGGTATTGAAAGACTCTATGGGCAAAATATTGAATGATGCAGAAAGCATCAAAAGAAGATGGAAGGAATACACACAGTTATTTCAAGAGGTAGCATAGCAGCCAATGATTCTAGAGGAAGAAGTCCAAGGTGCCCTGAAGGCATTGGCAAAGAACAAGGCTCTGGGAATTGATGGACTACATATTGAAATCTTTCAACAAACTGATGCAGCCCTGGAGGCACTCACTCATCCATGCCAAGAAATTTGGAAGATTTCTTGGCATAGATGAGTTCCATGTAGCCCAAAGACTGGAAAAGATCCATATTTGCACACATTCCAGAGAGGTGACCCAATGGAATGCAGACATCATCAGACAATATCATTGATATTCCATGCAAGTAAAATTTTACTCAATTTGCTTATGAACAATGTATGGTCTATTCCACAGTCTGCCCAGGCCTTGTTTTAGCTGATGATACGGAGCTTTTCCACTGTCTCTTTCCACAAGTGTGGTGAATTTGACTTCTGTGTATTCCATCTGATGAGGTCCATGTGTATAGTCATCTTTTATGTTGCTTAAAAAAGGTATTTAAAATGAAGAATTCATTGGTCTTGCAATATTCTATCATGCGATCTCCAGCATCATTTCTGTCACCAAGGCTGTATTTTCCAACTACTGATCCTTCCTCTGTTTCCAACCTTTGCATTCTAATCACCAGTGATTATCAATACATCTTGATTGCATTTTTGACTAAATTTCAGACTAAATAAATTGGTAGAATTCTTCAATTGCATCATCACTGGCTTTAGTGGTTGGTACGTAAATTTGAATCATAGAGGTATTAACGGATGTTCCTTTTAGTTGTATGGATGTTATTCTATTACAGACAGCATTGGACTCTCTATTCTTTTTGACGATAAATGCGACACCATTCCTCTTTAATTTGTCATTCCCAGCATAGTAAACCATGTGATTGTCAGATTCAAAATGACTATTACCGGTCCATTTCAGCTCACAAGGATATCGATCTTTATGTGTTCCATTTCATTTTTGACAATTTTCAATATTCTTAGGCTCATACTTGAATTTTTTTCTTTAGTTCCCTAAGCTTGAGAAATGCTTAGCATGTCCTTCCCTTTTGGTTTTCTAACTCCAAGTCTTTGCACATTTCATTATAATACATGACTGCTGTCTTCTTTTGTTTTTTTATGGTTATTTGCAGCAGCTTTATTGGCAATAGCCAAAACCCAGACATAGCCAAAATAACTCTGAATAAGCATATGATTACATAAACTGGTACGTCCATACCAGGCTATGTTATTCAATAACAAAATTTTAAAGTGTTGATACATGTAGCAACTTGGGTGCATCTCAAGACAATCGCAGGTCAACTTGATTGATTAAGAAGTCAATCTCTAAAAGGTATATCCTATATGGCTCCATTTATAACAGTCTCAGAATGACAAAATTAGACAAATAGTGGTTGCCAAAGGGTTAGGGATGGTGGCCAGAGTGGTGGGCGGTGGTGGGTGTAAGTCCACAAGGAAGGTCTTTGTGATAATGTATTCGTTCTCTATCTTGATCATAGTGGCTGTTGTTGTTAGGTACCATCCAGCAATTCATTTCTAAAGGATGCCTTGTTGTTGTTAAGT